TAAACAAGGTCCCACAATCTACAATAACTCACACTATTTCAGTCTCCAGCAAGGATCCCTCACCCCCGCCTCCCTCTACCTATCCATCTTGCTCCCTCCCTCCCCTCCATTCCTTATTGTTTTCCTACTCACCCCCTCCCTGATCCCGCCCCCCTCTGACAGCTACATTGGGCCGGCCGCCGGAGGTGCTCATCCCGAGAAAAAAATCCGTGGTTTATAAAAAGCACAATGTGTCTATCCAATTGTCTGTGAACTGTATGTTATTGCTCTCTGCTGTTTCTTGCTGCACACAGCGCCGCAAATGGCGAAGTGGCACGCTCTCTGCCAAGACAATTTCCAAGTGATAACTTTGTTACTCACGTGGCAATAAAAATGATTCTGATTCTGATTCCCAATTTAGATGATATCATACAAATAAAGTACATATACAGCGCTATTTTATACTGAAATTGCTCTTGATTTAGTTTAGTTTGCTAATTTGATCTACTGGAATTATCTGGAACCCAACTCCTTGAGAGGGGTTGGACGCTCCACTTTTCTGGTGTTTCTCGCGGGGAGAGGCAGCGAGCTGGGTTGGCCATTCTCATTGCCCCCCATCTCAGCCGCCACGTGTTGGAGTTCTCCCCAGTGAATGAGAGAGTTGCGTCCCTCCGCCTTCGGGTGGGGGACAAGTCTCTCACTGTTGTGACGGCCTACGGGCCTAACAGCAGTGCAGAGTACCCGGCCTTCTTGGAGTACTTGGGAGGGGTACTGGACGGTGCACCAACTGGGGACTCCGTTATTCTCCTGGGGGACTTCAACGCCCATGTGGGAAATGCCAGTGATACTTGGAGAAGGGTGATTGGGAAGAACGGCCCGCCCGGTCTGAATCCGAGCGGTGTTCAGTTGTTGGACTTCTGTGCCAGTCACGGTTTGTCCATCACAAACACCATGTTTGAGCACGAGGGTGTCCTGGTGCCACGTGCACTAGGCCGGAGGTCGATGATCGACTTTGTTATTGTATCATCTGACCTTCGACCGCCTGTCTCGGACGCTCGGGTGAAGAGGGACGGAGCTGTCAACCGATCATCACCTGGTTTTGAGTTGGATCCGCTGGCAGGGGAGTAAGCCGGTCAGACCTGGCAGACCCAAGCGTCTCGCTGAAACCCCTGTCAGACGGACTTTCAACTCACACCTCCGGGAGAGCTTCTCCCAGGTCCCGGCGGAGGAGGGGGACATTGAGTCCGAGTTGACCATGTTCTCTTCCTCTATCGCCGATGCGGCAGCTCGTAGCTGTGGTCGCAGGGTCTCTGGTGCTGGTCCCGGCGGCAATCCCCGAACCCAGTGGTGGACACCGGCAGTAAGGGATGCCGTCAGGAGTCCTATCGAGCAATGATGGTTCATGGGACTCCTGAGGCAGCTGTCCAGTATCGGCAGGCCAAGCGCGCCGCTGTTGGGGCGGATCCTTCCATCTCCCTGGCAGAGGTCACCAAGGTGGTTGGCAGCCTCCATGGTGGCAAGGCGCTGGGAGTGGATGAGATCCGTCCTGACTATCTAAAGTCTCTGGATGTTGTAGGACTGTAAGTAAGTAGTAGTAGTAGTAAGTAATCTTTATTTATATACCGCCTTTTCACTGCAAATCTGAGTCACAAAGCGGTTTACAATTGTTAATTTTTTTTGGGCACTTGTCCTCTCACTCCACACAGAGATGGGAGCGGGGTCGCCAGTATAGGAGGCGCATGCCAGAACTATTGGACATATTTTTAGTGGTAGGGGAAACCGGAGTACCCGGAGGAAACCTACGCAGACACGGGGAGAACATGCAAACTCCACTCAGAAAGGCTCTGGTCCGACCGGGATTCGAACCCAGGACCTTCTTGCTGAGAGGCGAGAGTGCCTGCAACATCGCGTGGCGATCGGGGGTGGTGCCAATGGAGTGGCATACCGGGGTGGTGGTCCCTCTCTACAAGAAGGGGGACCGAAGGGTGTGTTCCAATTATCGTGGGATCACACTCCTCAGCCTCCCCGGTAAGGTCTACTCCAAGGTACTGGAGAGGAGGCTACGGCCGATGGTCGAATCTCGGATTCAGGAGGAGCAGTGTGGTTTTCGTCCCGGTCGCGGAACACTGGACCAGCTTTATACTCTCCATCGGATACTCGAGAGTTCATGGGAGTTCGCCCAACCTGTCCACATATGCTTTGTGGATTTGGAGAAGGCGTTCGACCGTGTTCCCCGGGGTGTCCTTTGGGGGGTTCTCCGGGAGTACGGAGTCCTCTGCTGAGGGCCGTCCGGTCCCTGTATAACCGGAGCCAGAGCTGTGTTCGCATTGACGGCAGACCTGTTATCGGTGCATGTTGGCCTCCGCCAGGGCTGCCCTTTGTCACCGGTTCTGTTCACTGTGTTCATGGACAGAATTTCTAGGTGCAGCCAGGGGTCGGAGGGGTCCGGTTCTGGGATTCATCTCTGCTGTTTGCGGATGATGTCGTCCTGTTGGCTCCAACGAACCAGGACCTGCAACATGCACTGGGACGGTTTGCAGCCGAGTGTGAAGCGGCTGGGATGGGAATCAGCATCTCAAAATCTGAGGCCATGGTGCTCGACCGGAAAAAGGTGCCTTGCCCTCTTCAGGTGGGTGGGGAGGTCCTTCCTCAAGTGGAGGAGTTCAAGTATCTCGGGGTCATGTTCACGAGTGAGGGAAGGATGGAGCGTGAGATTGACAGGCGGATCGGTGCAGTGTGCGCAGTGATGCGGCCGCTGTATCGGACCGTTGTGGTAAAGAGGGAGCTGAGCCGAAAGGCAAAGCTCACGATTTACCGGTCGATCTCACCTCCACCCTCCCTCACCTATGGTCATGAGCTTTTGGTAATGACCGAAAGAACAAGATCGCGGATACAAGCGGTCGAAATGAGCTTCCTCCGCAGAGTGGCTGGGCGATCCCTTAGAGATAGGGTGAGGAGCTCAGTCACACGGGAGGAGCTCGGAGTAGAGCCGCTGCTTCTCCACGTCGAGAGGAACCAGTTGAGGTGGCTCGAGCATCTGTTCCGGATGCCTCCTGGACGCCTCCCTGGGTAGGTGTTCCGGGCACGTCCCACTGGGAGGAGGCCCCGGGGAAGACCCAGGACACGCTGGAGGGACTATGTCTCTCAACTGGCCTGGGAACGCCTTGGGGTCCCCCCGGACGAAATAGAGGAAGTGTGTGTGGATAGGGAAGTCTGGGCGTCTCTGCTTAGACTGCTGCCCCCGCAACCCGGCAACGGATGAAGCGGAAGAAGATGGAATGGAATGGAATGGAATTATCTGATTAGGTTAATGTCAAAATTCTCAATCAATTCTCGATCAAATGACACATTTCCATTCAACTGGGAAAAAAACCTCCTCATAATTAAGTAAGTAATCTTGATTCATATGGGGATGTTAGGAGTTACCAAATACAAACTAAATAACAACAATTTTTAAGAGGTTATCAAAAGCTAACAGAAATATTTACAGGCACAGGTGCACAAGGGGCCTTGTGAGGTTCAGTGGCTACAGTCAAGCTCTTTATAGAACCATATAATGCAATAACTCTGCTTTCCCCAGGTTCCCAAATAAACTAAGCTTTACCATGTATTAAAGCCCGGCATCCCCTAAAGACCCTCCATGTGTCCATTCTCTGGTAAGCGTGGACTATATTTAGCCTTTTGGGGGGTCTTTGCTCACCTCAGCTCGTCTAAATACAGAAGCAGAAAAGCCACGACCCATTGTCTGACACCGTGCTCACTGGGAGCCAAGTAGATGCAACACGTGTGCGACAGAGGGGAGGTCTTTTGTTGTGTCGTTTTTGAAGTCCAAAGTCCCACTCTCCACCTGCACTCCTGGAATCTGATTTAACATCTTTCTGATCCCTAATCCCGAGACAGGATTCCTCCCTCCTCACAGAGCATAAAGCAGCATGAGGTGAAATTGTAAGGGCTAAGTGTAAAATTGCTGCCTGCTCGAGACGGGAAGTGACAGGAAGAGAGTAAGTCACAACATGGATGTGAGTCTTAATTTTGGCAAGAGTCCAACTCAAATGACTTCATTCTTACTTAGCCTATGCTGACATTATGAGGCATCTAAAAATAAAATGAAAAGAAACCATCCATCCATCCATTTTCATGATGGATGGATGACAGCAGTCATCAGCGGGAGTCAGTGGAGAAGGTGCAGAGGTGGGAATTGAACCCACGACCTTCTGGGCTTAAGGCCAATGCTCTACCAACTGAGCTACTGTCGCCCCATGAAAAGAAACAACAGGCTATATTCCAGGGGTTGCACGTATCATTAGCACTTGACACGGAATTTCAAGTAATCACATTAGCTGAATCATTAAATATGTAAATATATGATTCATGTGCCTTAAACAGTAGTCTTTATTCTTGTCATGATACTACATTTCAAACTCTATTTCAATATTAGGAAAAATGCTCAATACTAACTTTGATAACACAGTGATTGTTTATATCTTTTTGTCATAATATTGTTTTGAGTAAAGAGAACCAGCATTTGTCAATATGCTGGTTCTCTTTCCTCAAAACAATATTTTTTTTTGGACCACAACTTAATTTACTGAAATATTATTTGTTTTAAACGCCAAATTTTCTCCTGTTTACGTAAGTGTTATTATTTTATTTAGTATCTACTTAAATCTGCTTGTATTAAAATCTAGTTTTGTTTCAATTCTTATCTGTTTTTGGAACGTGTGGTTAGGGCAGGCAACATGATCAGCAGCACTTGGTATCAAAGACATGACATTTCAAGTGAAGAGTTAGATCTGCAGTAAGAGCATGAATCTTATCCATAACATGAATTGTAATTTATTAAGCATCAAGACTATCGATGTAGAACCATAGATTCATTTCTGGTCTTGTCTGGATAAATACACCCATAAATGGGAAAACTACATCTTTATAATCCTTTCTGCAGCTCTCTGCTTCTCACAAAGCACAATTATCATTCACACTGCAAGTAGCAACAGGTAAACATGGAACATGATGCTCACTTGTCCAAGATCCAGCGTGACGTTGACCTCGTTGTAGATCAGGCCTCTTGATAGAGGCGGACTCTGCCACCACCTCTCTGTCCCGTCAATGGCATTTGAGGCCGGATGAGCTTTGTTTGGGTCATTGGAGTTACAGTAATCACAGAACTGACCCTAATACATAAGAAAGTGTTAGTATTCAGAACTTTAAGTGTCTTTATATTTTTAAAAAATCATGAAAAGAGAATCATTGTATTATTTCTATCAGTACTCGGATAACATAAAGTTTCCTTTTAATAAAATGCACAAAGCAGGTAATTCATACATAAATGTTCATCCATGCCCTTTTTGCTGATTGACTTAAAGCAGGGGTACCAAACTTTCAGACCAGAAAAAAACAAAAACATCCAACTAACAAATTAATTGAGTTTAGTTCTTTCATTATAGATATCTCATGCATGTATTTTTGTCACATCAGCTTTTTGTGAAACAGTGAAAAAGAGAAGACCGACCTTGACTGAGCCAATCAGCCCAAAGGGTCAAATAAAGACTCACGGGGGTCTTTCTTATACAGGTAAGCTAAAGATGACTAACACGGAGAAGACAGCAGGTCTGTTCATAACATTTTACTCTTACAAGATTATTTCTATTTTTACAGTGAGAGTGCAAAATATGAAACAAATAAGTTAGGTACCCCAGCTCATGTGCGTATTATAAAACTAAACTTTTCATGACTAACAAAACACAATCAACCATTACATACTGTGCACTTACCTGAATGTTCTGACTGAGACGCGCGGTTGTAGGTCCACCAACCAGTTTACAGTATAAATCCTGCCTCGGTCTCCCCGTCTCATCCTGTCCACAGGTCGCGGTGGCAGAGATACGAGCCCCCTCTGCCAGATTAAAATACGGAGGGTTCAGACTAAAACCTATCGCTCCATTAGAACTCCCCTGTCCTTTAGCGCTCCAGAAAAGTGTTATAAACAACAGCGCAGCATGAGCAAATTTCATTCCCATCGCCATATTCCTGCATTAAAATCCCTAGATGCTGAGAGCAACCCGCAACAGGCAGGTTTTGTCATCTGGAAAGCCTCGGGAAAAAAAACCTCAATTTGTCTTTTACGCACGGGGGAATCCTCTACCAGATTGTGCTTATTCCAAATCCAAAGGCGTCACTGCAAACTTTGGATAAATCCTTTGTTGGAGAGAGACATGGGATGTGTCGGGGTCCGCGGCATGATGCTGCTTTCAAAAGTGAACGCGCGTCTCTGCTCCAGAAGTGTGCGCCGCAGTGAGCGATGGTCAGGTGTCTACAGTCTGCAGCTCTGTGCGTGGGGCCAAAGGTCTGTTACAGTTCACAAGAGGAGCTGGAGCTGCTGAAATCATAAATCACATATTCTGGATCAAGTGTCAGGCTATTCGTTTAAACAGACAATACCCCGTAACACGCGTTTCAATGACGACACAAGCTGACGGTCGCTTTACCAGGCAACCTCTGAAGCCAAAATGAGTGTGATGTTACGACTCCATGAACGCTTATAGGAATATATGGCATAAATAAGTGTAGGGCTAAATTTCTAGCGCCCTCTCGTGGAGATTATGAACAACAGCTTCAGCGTTTAGAGCAGCCAGACAAACCGTGCAACTCAGGGGGTGTCAAACTCATTTTGGTCGGGGGCCAAGTTTAAAAACACACGAATTGGTTGGGACTTGAACAAAATAAAAATATACGAACATAATTTAAAAAAAAAAGCCTCAGGAGTCATTCATCATTATGTTTATTTCCATATTAAGTTCAGGGTGGTAGACCCATATAAAGAGACATATAACTCTTTATATGGGTAGAGCAATATGGAGGAGTCAAGTAAAGCGTGCTGAATACCTGGAGAGAGCTGTGAAGTTGAAGAAAAATCTAAAGAAACCAAAAGCTCATTCCTCAAAGCCTGTCAACGAGGACAAAATTGGCAAACATGAATGCATATGAATGATATGTCATGTGACTGTTAAATGGATTGAAAAATCCTCCTTACACAGTTAAAATATATGAAAATTAGGTACAACAGCTTTAGCAATTGTCCTGCAGGCCTAGTATGGAACGTTGGCGCCCTCTTGAGGCTCATTCTATAAGAAATTAATTTTATACTATTATAGACTTTTAATCTCATCTATTTCTGAATATTTTAACCCATTGTCTCATTTAGTAGAACATACCAGCTACACAGAGTACCAGTGTTTGAAATCTGACCAGGCAGGTTTATATTCTTACAGACTGGGCTTGCACGGTGTCACTTACGCCGTGTTCTTACGTCATGAATGGATATACGCAAAAAGTAACAAAAAGGAACGAGATACAATGAAAAACGTCATCATATATCTGGATTTGCAAATCAGCTGTTTCTTCGCAACGTTGTTTTTCTGGTTCCATTACAGCGGATAGCGTGAGTCACTGGATGGCAGCTTCATTCCTCAGACTGGGCTGGTAACTTTCTCACAGATGTATGTCATGGAGGCAGGACAAGCGACCAGGAAATAATATGCTCTGACAATCGAAACCGAATTGAATCACAGGTGTCTTGTTGTGTGATTTACCTACAATTCATGGAGCCAAACAATCTACAGGTGAGAGAGTAAATGTTCTATAACGCGTAACTTTTTCTACGCACAGTGGCGTCTCGCGTTTCCTACTGACAGATGTGTTGTGCTACATAGCCCAACAGGCTACAGGGCACGTAGCAGTAGCTCAAAGGTAAATGGAATCAAACCGACTTGCAATAAGATTGTTCGAATAATTAGTCACATTTTTAGTTGATGAAGCTGTCAACTTAAACTTGAATTAACAGGTGAGCTATGTCATGCATAAGACTATTTGGTTGTTAGTGTTAATATTCATTCATTTACTTTTTTTTGTATTTTGTCTTTTTTATTAAATGATTACATAGTCAGTATTGGGAGTAACTCATTACAGAAATAACTAGTTACTGTAATGTATTATTTTTTATGAGCTCAGTAATGTAACCACTTGGAATAATTATCCATTCATCCATTCATTTTCTTCTGCTTTACCCATTGCCCGGGTGGTGGGGGCAGCAGTCTAAGCAGAGATCGCAGAGATGCCCAGACTTCCCTATCCACACACACTTCCTCCAGCTCATCCCGGAGAGACTAATTAGGAATAATTAGTAACCAGAATAATTCAAGTTGCTTCCTATAATTGAATTGCTTACTTTTATATTTAAACTTAAATCATGATCATGGAGACAGACTACATTTCCAGAGTGGACCTATTTACACTATTTCCACCATTTCTTAGATCAAATACATTATAGTAAAATACAATTGTGTTTGATACAGCGTTCTACTTTAAAGCTCAACAAAGTGTAATTCAGTTACATGTTCATTGTAATATTGAAAATGTAAAACACAAGCACAAGTTCTTAGTTCATGGCATCTCTTGTATATATTGCTGGTTGGCTTTTGGGTTCTGTGTCTCAACCTGTAACTCAGGGCTTCTCTTAGTATGTATGCCCCATAAATCCCCTCTCAAGCATTATGATATCCCAGGAACTCTCTTGGGTTCTTTTTGAATCATTTTGTGACAGTACAGTGGGGCAAAAAAAGGTATTTAATCAGTCATTATTTGTGAAAGTCCTCCCTCTTAAAAAAGATGACAAAATAATGTAATTTTTTATAACAGGCACACCTGAACTATGAGACACAAAATGAGGAAACAAAAATCAAGGAAATCACATTGCGGTGCAAATTATGGTGGATAATTTGTAGTTAATAGGACAAGTCCATCTCATTACTTATATATATATATACCCTTTGTTGGCAATGAAAGAGGTCAAACGTTTTCCGGAATTCTTCACAAGATTTTCACACACTGTTGCTGGAATTTTAGCCCATTCCTCTGTGCAGATCTTCTCCTAGAATGGTAATGTTTTGGGACTATCGCTGGACTTAGAACTTTTTCATAAAAAATAAAAATAAATAAAATGAAAAAACACAATTTTATTTTATTTTTTCATTTTGTTGCTCTCAGTTGAGGTATACCTTTGATGGCAATTACAGGAATCGCTCATCTTTTGTGGAAGGACTTGCAGGACTGTACCTACTGCCAAGAGTTTCTACAACCACTGGATTTGGTGCCTCACTTCTGACTGATCTCAAACTTCAGATAATTTTCTGATTTCTTTCATCATTACATGTCAGGCATAGAAACATCAACCAACAGGATTTGTATTGTTCTTGTTGTTGTTGTGTTTTTCTCCTTTCACTAAAAAACGGTGTCCCAACATGTTTGACCCTTGGCCCTACATTAAGGGACACGTGCCGGATTATATCCATTCTGCTTCTGCAGTTTCAGGTTAACCAACCTTAGCCTATAAAATAAACCAATAAATGTCCTATTTAGAAAGCCATTGCAGTTGCAACGAAGGCTTCACAGGAAGATCAGGCTGGAAACTATGAAGAAGCTATTCGGTCCTATCAACATGCAGTCAAGTACTTTTTGCACATCCTGAAACGTGAGTTTTCAAATACACATATTAAATGTCAATTTCCAAAAAGTTCAATTTCTAGCTCCTATTTTCCTATTATTTCTATGCTCTCAATGTACATGTTTTCTCTCATTAGGTGAGCCCCAAGGCAAGGATGGGAACCAAAAGATACGAGACAGTTGTAAGAAATACCTCGACAGAGTGGAAGAACTGCAAGCCTATTTAGATAATAAACAGGTGGCAAGCTTTGATACTGCAAATGTACTAAATATGCATTGTTTCTATACGATACACGTATGTGACTGAACAAAGTCCTAAGTTATTAATTTTGGCTTTTAGACTAAGTTAATTATAAGTGATTATTTCCAAAGCCCAATAATAATAATATTATTAAGAGGTGATGCATTGGTTTCATATAGCACTCTTTTTGGCACTTAAAGATGCTTTTCCGAAAAGCCTGCCACTAAAACTTGCAAAGAGTAAAATCCCATCAATGTCATGCAGTTGATGACATGCTGCTACCACAAAGTGCTAGAGTGTTGTTGTTTGAACTAATTTTTTTAATAATTCTATTTTGGATAAGTCAGATATTTTTAAATGAGCAGTCTTCATATATCCTGATAATTGTTATTGTGATTACGTCAACGCGCACGTTGACGTAATCAGCTTCTGACTACGCGAGGATCGTCTTTTCAATGCGGAAGTATCCTCTTCGTCAGTGAGAAGAAAAACAACCTCACTGGACTATATATTAGACTGTTTTCTTTGTTATTTTCATTATTCTTAGCAGTCTAAGCGTTAAAGGATACTACGTTGTCTGTATTTCTAACTGTTGGAAAAGCGATTGGCCGCTATGGCGAACAATAATTTACAGGTATGTTGTGGATGGATCGACGTAGCTACAATGCGCAAAACGTCAACAAAGTTGTTTACGTCGTTATTAAGTTGATCTGGCTTTAGTAATTAAGCTCAAAGCCAATCTTTATGATTTTCAGTAGTTTGTTAACGTTAGGTGCATGAGCATTTGCATAGAACAACGGGTATAGCATTAGCAGCTAGTTAGCTAGCGTTTTGTGCTAGCTAATGCTAGCGGGGGTTTTGCAACAAATAATAGCTACATTTATCGGTAAAATAAGCGTTAAAGAACTAAACTAATTATTTCGGCAGGACAAACAGGGTCGCGCACACTTGTGTGAGTCACATTTAGTATTAGTATTAGCGATAGATAACTATGTGGTTTCGGTGATAGCTGACTGATTTGAGAATACACCCCAGCGACAAAATCTATTCTCTCAATGTATTGTTTAAGCATTTAATTTCATCCGATTGAACTTGAATGATAATACAATTTCCATTTAGTCAGGTGTGTGTCACATTGACAAAGTTGTAATGGACAATTTTGTGTTAAAGGTGCACACCGCAACTTTTCTAATTGGCCCCATCTGCTGGTTTTCATCATGGCTATTGTTGCTTTTGTTGTTCTTAGGTTCTGTATTAACCTTGTATTTTGTTTATGAGTGTCGTTTTCTGCTGTAAAGATTCGTTTCTCCTCAGATATGACCTGTAATATCATGTCTGTTGTCATATTCTTGTCTTGAACTGGCTGACTCCACATCTGAATAGTGCATCTTTAAGTAGGATGTAATGTTGACTGCTAAATTACATTAAAATGTCATCATCTAAATAGGGGAACGGATGAATAGAATTTTACTGTACAATTAAAATGTATGACTTTATTTTATATTCAGAAAGCTATTGATCTCGCAAGCAAAGCTGCCCAGGAAGATAAAGCTCAAAATTTTGATGAGGCTCTACGATTGTATCAAGCTGCTGTCCAGTACTTCCTTCATGTTGTAAAATGTAAGTTATTCTCTATTGTGTGTCTGTAAAACACTGACAACTGATCAAAAAAATCCATTGATTATGATTTACTATTTCAGATGAAGCCCAGGGTGACAAGGCGAAACAGAGTATTCGAGCAAAATGCGCTGAATATCTGGACAGAGCTGAGAAATTGAAAGAATATCTAAAGAAGAAAGAAAAAGCTCCTCCCTCAAAGCCTGTCAAAGAGTCTGGGAGTGATGACAAAGGGTGTGTTCATGGGCTGGGCAGTAAATGGTTGATGTAATTCAGAGTGAGGGTTATGATTAAGTTTTGAATACATTTATTTCTGATTCAGAAATGAAAGTGATGAAGGCGATAATCCAGAGAAAAAGAAGTTTGAAAATCAGCTTTCAGGTATTTTATTTTTGAAAATGTACTGCCTAAAATAGAATATATTCATTTGTTTATTTAAAAACATTTCCAGGTGCCATTGTTATGGAGAAACCTAACATCAAATGGAATGATGTTGCTGGTCTTGAAGGAGCAAAAGAGGCTCTAAAAGAAGCTGTTATTCTTCCAATTAAATTCCCACATCTTTTTACGGGTACCTTGTGAAATTAATTACTTGAATCATTTGGCAAGAAGAATAAGATAATAACTTGTGCTTATGAATCACAGGGAAGAGAACTCCATGGAGGGGTATTCTGCTATTTGGACCACCAGGAACAGGAAAGTCATACTTGGCCAAAGCTGTGGCTACAGAGGCAAACAACTCTACCTTCTTCTCCATCTCCTCCTCTGACCTCGTCTCTAAATGGCTTGGAGAAAGTGAGAAGTGAGTGTTCTAGAAATGACAATATGATATGATTCACAACTGGAGATGATGATGTCTGGTTTGTAACCGCATGCGTTTTATGCCCGTAGGCTAGTTAAAAGTCTCTTTTCCATGGCACGAGAACACAAACCTTCAATCATCTTTATTGATGAAATTGACTCTCTTTGTGGCTCACGAAGTGAAAATGAGAGTGAAGCTGCCCGTCGTATAAAGACAGAATTTCTGGTGCAGATGCAGGGTAAGTAGTATATATCACAAACTTACTTTTTATTTACATCACAGGGATGTGCCAATAAGTACAACACTAACAATGTCATACTCTTTACTATAGGAGTTGGAAATGATAATGATGGAGTACTTGTACTTGGAGCAACAAACATACCATGGACCTTAGATTCAGCTATTCGAAGAAGGTAATTTCCCATAATGAAAAATGTATGTATGTTTTTTTTTTATTGAACACCAATGTCTTGCAGATTTGAAAAGAGGATTTACATCCCACTGCCTGAGGAACATGCACGTTCCTTCATGTTCAAGCTCCATCTGGGGTCCACCGCCAACAGTCTCACAGACTCAGACTTTGTAACGCTGGGCAAGAAGACAGATGGTTACTCGGGGGCAGATATTAGTGTTATTGTTCGAGACGCTTTGATGCAGCCTGTTAGAAAGGTCCAGTCAGCAACGCACTTCAAAAAGGTGTGTTGGAAAACCATCATTTATCCGTCATATATACACTTTCACAGAATATCCATGCATATAAAATGAGTGTTAGGAAAAATGTTTGGTTTTGATAGTTAATTGTCATTTTCGGCCAGTTTCCATGCTGTTTGTGCAGTCTGGATATTCTGTCTTTTGAAAAACCCGTCAAGCTACAACACTTGACATGAACTACACTGGTTAAATCGTTTTTCTTACTGGCAATTGGGTGTTTCTTAGTAAAATCTAATGTATACAATTTCTTTTAGGTGAGAGGGCCATCAAGGGATAACCCAGACATGATCATAAATGACCTTTTGACACCTTGTTCACCCGGTGATCCCAATGCCATTGAAATGACATGGATGGAAGTGCCAGGAGAGAAACTATTGGAGCCAATAGTGTGCATGGTAAAGTAAAAACAAAATTTTTAATACAACATACTCTGAAACTGGGTGTAATGTCTGTTTTCCTACTTTCAGTCTGACATGCTGAGATCTCTCTCCAACACAAAGCCAACTGTAAATGATCAGGACCTTGGGAAGCTGAAAAAGTTCACAGAAGATTTTGGTCAGGAAGGCTAAATAAGCAGTTTCAACCAAGCCAAAGCAATGTATTTGTGGTTGTCTCTACTGTCCTTGTTATTTCTGTTCTTCTAACATTTGGCCTCTTTTTGAAAGCTACTGGCCATCAGCCTTTCTTATCTCCAAAGAATGGACAGCTGTGTGTTCAAATTTGAAGTGGTTTCAAATGTCCCAGGATATAAATCGGTGATATGTTATACTTTAAGGAAGGTAAGCAAATATTACAGGAACAAGCACCCAGTGGGAAGTGGACTCCCTGTAACGGCCTCACTTGACATCTGGTGAAGGCTTTCTATGAGGAAACATGTTCTGTAGTGAGAATGGAGCTTTGTGTGTTTTTTGTTTTTAGAGGAACATTCGTCTTTTATGTCTGGACATTAATACAGTTTGGCCCAGGGATAATTTTGCATTGTGGTTCAGTAGTGTCCTTTTGTTTACTGAACAAAAATACAAATGCAGTGCTCTTGTTTTTGTTCCCATTTTTGGTTGGTTCAACTTTAAACTATAAAACTCTGGATATTTGTACAATACACCAATCTCTTTCAGATATTGTTCACAAATTTCTCAATTTTTTTCAGAGAGCTTTCTTCTTTTATCAGGCATTTGAACGTTTTGTATCGTTTTTTTTATTGTGGCCTGTGGAATGATGGTCCATTCTTCAATTGCTGTATCAAGTTGCTGGATATTGGCAGGAACTGGAACACAATGTAGTGTACAGCAATCCAGATTATCCCAAACATAATGGGTTGCTTGTTTGGCAACTTTGTCCATTGAAGAGGAGTGGACTAACATTCCACGAGCCACAATCATTGACCTGACCTCAGTGTTGCAAGGCGTAAGGAAAATACCCCCCAAAAAGAAAAACTGAACATCTTAGACTTTTATTGTTTCAGTCCAAGACACACTTAATATGCCACACCTGTGAGGTTTTACAACAAAAAGTGCTGAAATTCATATAGACAAAGCTATACAACAATAAAGATATCTATATAGTTTAAGTTGAACCCATGAAAAATGGGAGAGAAAAGCATTTGTTCAGTGTGGTTCACTACTTTAATTCAACACAGTTAATGGGGTGTAACACCAAAGGTGCCAGACCAGCATTATTTGAATACTCTGAATGAAATGTTTTATCATGACATGCTTTTCAAATTCTATCAAACAAAGACTATATTTTATTCTGTATACAAACAGTGTTTTGTTCTTTTAAGGAACAGGAACATTTACCCACTAACATGCATCCTTACATTATGCAAGTTTTAGTATGTAAGGAAAGACATGATCTAACCAGTCTGCAACTTCAATTTTCGGTTATTTTTATAACTTCAGATTTTCAACATCATGCTGCCTGTAGCCATAAATAGCAGTGTGCCTTCTACATGCAGGAGATTGGCTGTTCTAAAGGAGTGTCAGAATTAGCTTATTAAATGAATGCTCAATCAACTAAGTGACAATAATACTTGCACATTTCACATATGCTCTAATATATCCTGTATACAACAGAACTTTTTTTCTTATTTGAGGTCGACTTTATTTCTGTTTGGGAATATGATCTTGTTTCATTGTACATGTCTATTAGTCATCATTGAAATCTTTTCTTTATGAAAAGTCCTGAATATCACAATATTTCTATATTGTAAATAAAAGAAAGCTGAATGTGGTTATAACTGCGCCAAATACCTTTATTCATATATACCCATGCTTACACAAAGATTTAACATTCACAATGCGTGTATAGTTGTATTGAGTTTTACTGTATTATTCATGGATCTCTTATAATAACGGTATTATTACATAATATAATTAACAAATATCTAGTTGCATTATCCGCTGGGCCAGTAGGTGGCATTGCACATTTGTTTCATCTAGCTAAAAGCCTGAACAGCACTCCGAAGAAGACTTTTGGATTGTTTTGGTTTTGCGCTTTGTCACTGGAGCAAAGGTCCATTCCAGTTGCTCTTTCACCTGGACACTGCACAATTTTGACATTCAGTCAATACGGGTCGACTCCTCCTCCGGGATCTGGACTACGCCACACCTTCTCCGTCCGCCGCCCATATCAAGCTGCGCTATCCCCCCAGAATCCGGCCCAGAAGCTAGTTAGCACCAAGCTAACGACTGTCTGCTTTTACTCATGTCATCGGAGGAAGCATTGGGTTCAACGATTACAGACTGGCTGTTTGTCAACTCGTGGTGGCTGCTTCTTCCTTTCATCATGCTCCTTGTAGTTGTGGCCTTCATTGTGGCGTTTGTCCTGCTTTTATACATGATATCACCTTTAATTAGCCCCAAACCTCTCAAACTGAATGGGGCCCACGTCGTGGTGAGTAAAGTGCTAACTTATTTGTAGCATAGTCAGTTCGTTTGTCATCTGGATTGTGGAAAACACATTATGAGAGTATAATATGTGTGCAGAAAATGGCAATCATAATCTTAGCGTCACACTTTTCTTGGACAAAAGTAGTGACATAATGTATCTGAGGCGAGCGGCGCAGGGACATTGGACATTGAGGACACGCCCACCTCGTGCTTCAACTGCCAATGAATGAGCGAAAACTTAAAACATAAAATTATATACACTGAAGAGTTTCACCTCAGTATTAAAGCTGCTCTTTATGAAACCAGGTGCATATAAACAATTAAACTGTTTACATCATTGTATCCTTTTGGTTGATTGTATTTCCCCTCTCAGAGAGTGTGTATGTGTGCGTTTGTTTTGCTTAAGGACACAACAGTTTATCACTTTTACAGCCAGGTATGGTCACAAAGTAGTTTGACTTCTTGCTTTTGTATCGGCAGGTGACAGGGGGATCTAGTGGAATAGGAAAATCCATTGCTATGGAGTGCTACAGGCAAGGAGCTTTCATCACTTTGGTGGCCCGAGATGAGGTGAGCTGCATTAGATGTTTTGAGGGTAGATCTTTTTTTGTATGAATTATTGTATATTTAAATCATGGAACATTTGAACTATCGTTTTAGGCTAAACTTCTTCAAGCGAAAAAAGAAGTTGAAACATTTGCCATCAATGATAAGCAGGTAGATTTTTTCTTGCATTTTTTTGGCTTTTACATTGAGTTACCTGTTGGCCTCATACACATGTGTTTCGGCCTATTCAGGTGGTGCTGTGCATATCAGTGGATGTTGCCAGTGATTACAATCAAGTGGAAAGTGTGATTAAACAGGTAGGTACTTTTCCACCTATTGTTTTAACTGTGTACTGTATGGCTAACATGTATGTCTGTAGGCACAGGAAAAGCTGGGGCCTGTTGATATGCTTGTCAATTGTGCTGGCATGTCCATTTCTGGGAAGTTTGAGGAAATAGAAGTAGATCGTTTCAAAGTAAGTACTTGTATTGTCTGATAGATGTTCTGTCAATGCACTTCAGAATCATCAGACTATATTGTTAAGAATACCTTTTGCCTATTTTCATCAGAAAATGATGGAAGTGAACTATCTGGGCAGTGTGTACCCTACTCGTGCTGTTATCACCACAATGAAGGAGCGCAGGATGGGGCGGATCATGTTCGTGTCCTCTCAAGCAGGACAAATAGGCCTTTTTGGATACACTGCTTACTCGCCTTCAAAGTTTGCCCTGCGTGGTCTTGCAGAATCTTTGCAGATGGAGGTAATGTATATCTCAACATGTTTTGTCAGGTTTGATAAATGCTGGTAATTTAAAATTTAAAATTGGGGACTTGCAGGTAAAGACTGGCACAAATGAGCTGTAATGCAGTAGTAGTATCTTTTATTAGAAATTAAATTGTTGCTGATGTTGTGTGTTTACAGATCAAGCCGTACAACATCTATGTTACTGTTGCGTATCCCCCTGACACTGACACTCCTGGACTAGCTGAGGAAAATAAAACAAAGGTCAGTATAAATGTAAAAATCTTGATGTTGGGAAAGTAAATGTATGTATTATTAACTTTTAAATGTTTCAATATTAGCCTCTAGAGACAAAACTGATCTCCGAAACGTCTGGAGTTTGTCAGCCAGAGCAAGTGGCAAAGATAGTTGTACGAGATGCAGTGGTAAGAAGTGTGCATGAATATTTTTAGTGCATTCTTTCCTTTTTTGACGTTAATGGATTTTCATCTTACTGCATTTCAGCAAGGAAACTTCAATAGCTCAGTTGGTCCAGATGGGTACATGCTCGCTGCCCTCGCCTGTGGAATGTCACCTGTCACCTCCATCACAGAGGGTCTTCAGCAGGTATCACCACTTTTGTTTATGTATTCTGAATAGTGATATATGTAACTTTCTTGTACGACATATGTTTTATCTCACAGATTGTTACCATGGGGTTGTTCCGCACAATCGCCCTCTTCTACCTTGGCAGTTTTGACAGCATTGTGCGCCGATGCATGATTCAAAGAGAGCAGTCAAAAGCAGCAGACAAGAGGGAGTAACAGCTTCTCTGTAGCGTCCGTCTCTCTGTAACGGTTTAGTACTATGTCTACAGCAATGGAGTAAAGGACAGACTTAAGTGCATTTCAGTGGGAAAGAACTACATGCAGGCTTCAGACTTCATGGCCTTTGTGTTCTGAGACCGTTGCTCTGCTACACCATGTTACATTTCTATACACCTAATTCTTTAATTCTGAAATTTGTGGACATTAGTGAAGTGATTTAGCTTCTAGGCCTGTTACAATAAAAATCAACAAAGCACAGCGATAATCTATACACTATTGAAACTCCTGTATGCCAAGGACAAAATCACTATTAAGGCCTTGTCCTCTACATGTGTGTTTTGCCCTACATGCAGATCAAATGTGTGCCTTTCTTTTAGCCGGCATACTTTTGTGAAAGCTAACGGCAGCACTGTCCTCGTTATGCGCATATCATGCTAAAGGTCTGTTTTCTATTGTTAATTGAATCAAAAGCAGGCTTTATATGACAAAAGATTCATTTGTGCATTAATTCTTTTACTTCTGAAAGTATCAGTTCGCCCTTATCAACCTACACCACTTGTTGAGCAAATGATTTTCACAGTAAATCTATCAAAAGCTCACACTGAGCAGCTACAGATAAATAGCAGACAGAACCAACAATTAGCCATATAAGTGACTTTTCTTCTAGGTATTAGTTGTTGAAAGATGGGTTTATTTAGCAATTGTTGTGACAGGCCTAGGGCTTCCCCATTTGTTGAAAGATGTTTATTACAGATTGTGGTGTTAATATTTACACTACAAAAGACAACTGTTTTGCACTTATTCTGCTCGGACCAATTTTTACGTGTTCCAATATTTTTCTGCTTTTAACGTGTACACAAGAGAAGGACCTTTTTGTGGGGCAAAAATGAGGGTAGTCTAAACATCCCTCTCTTTGAAGCAAGAGGTTTTTTTCATTGCTGTCCCCCTTTAGTCCTCAAGGAGCAGAAGCAACAGATAACCTGTTTTACCGGTTGTGCCAAAAATGGCTTGAAATTTTTCCACCAATATATCAGAAATGATGTATTGTACATGTACAACTTTAGGTCCTCTTTATACATTTTCAGTTTTCGCTATAAATATAATTTGTACCACAAGTCTTTGCTGGCAAAGCAGGTTCCCAGTTAACTGAATATGTCTTGTGCTCTGAGTGATTGAAACTATGTGACTTCCGTTACATTATATCACATATTTTGAGTGTTTTCTAAAACCATTTTAAAACCCTTGTGCTACCCTCCTGTCAAAATGACCCGCAACAGTGATTAAAAGTAATAGAAAAAATACTACTGACTAAAATTTGAAAATGTAGTCTCTGAGGATAGCACAAGGGTTTGTCAAACAAATTGATATCTAAACTATTACATTTCATATGCCGTGTCGGACCAAATAATTTGGGGTAAATTATGTTGATTATGTGTATGCTTAGGTTGCTGTGACTGAGCCAACCCCTGGGAAGAAAAAAGCCATTATGTTTTATAGTCTCGGGTTAAGGGCGCCAAATTATTAAAATCCTACTTCGTTTACATACATATAGATACAGACTATTACCAATAGAAAACACCAGCATAGGCAGAAAAAGTTCACTTCATGTGTGTTTACTATGTGTAATGCCTAGCGTGTTCACCATGTTTCACTCAATGTTAGAGGGCGCATGTGACGACTTTCTGGAACGAGTAGTGACTTTGCACACTGACAGGGGGCGCAAGAGGCCTGTTTCATTTAAAGCTCGTTATATTGGGCGTGAATGATAGTTTGAAGATGCTTAGTACAGGATTCCATGAAATTAGACCATCATTCTTTTGTGAGTTTGATTAAGCCTTGAATATCCTTTGTTTGCTATCTTTTAACACTTAAGCATATGGAGTAACAACTCACAAGTCTTCCATTGATCCATCACAAAATCGGAATGTACTTTATCTTGACATCAGTAAAAAAGGAATTGTAATGATGTAAACACCACTATTTATATGCCAAAATGTGTTGAGACAATTGTTCTGTAAATGCAATGCATTAATTTGAGATCTTTTGGAGATTTATTTGGATGTTGCTGCTTTGTTTTCTTAGATTAGTTTGTGAAATCTGTGGATGTTTTTGGGACCCATTCTAAGCCTTAAGATGTGACTACTGATAAAGCTAAAAGAATGGACCTATCCACAGAGCTACTGGTTTACCTGTTCATTTGTTGACGTTTTGGTGTAAAATGCAAATGTTTATTGTGTAATCTGTGAAAATGTAGCCTTAATTGTATCCAACATATGAAAGTGAGAATGAATGACTCACCTGTGATGAAGTTCTCATTTGATATTGGTAGGAGGCTTCAAAAGCTTTTCATGAAATTGTTTAACAATTTTTTTCTTATGGTAGCAAATTAAGTTTCTATAAATACACTGTAGCCTTTTGCATCTTTACGTTATGCCTTTAAGCTATGCAAATCAAGCTTATTTGTTTCCGAAACGTATTTAACCATAGCTGTTAAATATTTCAGTGACATCATAGGTGATATGCATTCATTTGTTTTGAAAGTCATTAAATCAAGTGTATGATTATTTTGTGTTTTGCCAAAAAACTTACACATTCACCTTGTGTGCCATTGAGAGACTGAGAAGTTGTTTGTCTTTTTTATGTGACAAAAATAAAAGTGAAATGTTGAGTACAAATTAACGCGTGAATCTATTATAATATCTGCGTAAGGTATTAGTTTATCCATAGTGGTTACTATATAAGAATCCGAATTATTTATATTGCCATGTGAGTAACAGGTAATCACTTTTACTAGGAAATTGGTTTTACTAAAAAGTAAAGAGCAAAAGGCATTTATAAAATCAAAATCTACAAAGCATTAAAACAGTGCGAGACTAGCATTGTGATTCTAATGAAGTATTGAAGGACATGGAAGTATTCTCAAAAAAGCAGAAATGATAGGTTGAAAACTGTTTGGGTGGGTGTAGTTCTCCAACTTTTGTTCTGATCACTGAACAGGACGAGAAAAGTCTGCTGCAACAAAATTCACGTTTCAGCTTTTTACTCTTAACGTCACTATTATAACAACGATGTTCGTTCTCCAAACCTCACATCAAATTTGCATCTAATAATAATTCTCTAATGATTTCTTAGTGGAAATCCATGAGCTGCTTCTTCCATAGCGGTTATGGATGGAGGCCATTACTTCCTGCTGCTGACGTCAGGACGCGTACTTACCGTCTATGGCGTAACCGCGGGTGCACGAAGCGAAGAGGAGGATATGAGGAGGCACCGAGCAGGGCTCAGTCCGACCTTGTCTGGCTCACAGTCACATCAAGACGTGCACACCGCCTGAAACTGGCGGCGGCTTTTAATGTCGCCCAACTTAATCCACCATTCATTTTGTTTCTGTAGCTTAGCGCCTGGAATGTGCACGTACGACTGCACTTCTCTTCCGCGTGTGTAATTTTCATGCAAAGAGAAGGTCGCCCATGTCGCTCCAAGGATTCGGGAAATTAACATCGCTGCTGTTGGAAGTATTTTGCATTGTTTTGTGAGATTTTAAAGTATTTGTATATCAACGCTCCGCGATGCCCGAGAGCACGTCACACTTTAGTCTACAATGACGCTTTTGATTTAGAATTTTCACTCGCTACTTGGAAGTGCCAAATCTCCCCGCAATGGCAAACGACTGTAATCGCAGTATAGTGGAAAAGTACATTTGCCATAAACTCAACAAACGCGGCTACGCGTGGGGCTTTCACGAAGACGCCGAAGATGAAGACCACGTCGCCAATAACGGGTCAATAGTTGCGTCTTCTCCGGGTTTGGTGAACCGCCGATGCCGCGAAGAGCGTCTGTGTTCGCGTCCTGCTCCATTCGACGCACACGCAGACATCCACAGAGTCTTGCGCGAGGCTGGGGATGAACTTGAGAGGTTGTACCAGCCAGACTTCACCGAGATGTCCAGGCAGCTGTATCTGACTTCCTCCACGGCTCAGAGGAGGTTTGCCGAGGTTATAGACGAACTGTTCCGCGATGGAGTGAACTGGGGTAGGATTATCGCGTTTTTTGAGTTTGGGGGGACCGTGTGCGTGGAGTGCGCGTCCAAAGACGATATGTCATCTCAAGTGGACAACATCGCAAACTGGATGACCGAATATTTGAATGGAGATCTCAACAGCTGGATTCAAGACAACGGGGGATGGGTAGGTCTAATTCCGCTTTGCTAATGAAGTCGTCCTGGATCTGTGACATTTGTGTGTAGAGCTACATTGTGAGTCCAGTGTATGCTGTGAATGTCGTGTGTATCAATTTCCTGTCTGGCACAGAACGTGGAACCACATCTAACCAAATCCATAGTAAAATCTTGGCGTTGCGCAGAGATGTACGGCCTCTGCACTACTCTGCCCTGATTCATGTGATTGGCTTCTCACTGTGGCTGTCAAATCCGTGGGACCAATCGGATCCAGAGCTGTGTCACACCTCCCCACGCTCTGCTGGCACGTATAAATGCAGCTCAGTCTGAGGAAGCGTACATGAATGATATCGGACAAGAGCGCTTCCTGGTGCTGGACAAGGTTTATCCCTTTTTGATCATGTATGTAGGAGTAACGCCTGGGCCAGACATGGACCGAGGTTGCTTCGACAATCGTCCAAGCAACCTCTGGTTATGGATGGGCGGATCAGTACAGTCTGATATCCATGACCATAATGTTCAAAGTTTTTAGTAACTCTTATATCCAATATAAGTTATATATAATGTATTGTATACTAATGTATCGTATACTAATTATAATGATTGTCTCCACCAGATGGATATAGTTTTTTTTCTTCATACATTTCTTGGATCTTAATATTTAACCAATACATATTTCTTGGTTAGGACTTCAGAATTATTAAGGATAGTGCAGGCTCAATGGTCTATGCTACTTATCTGCAATCTGCTACAAATTGACCTAAAACTCCTTTGATCAGAGAACAACATTTGGTTTCCATTTAGCCTGAAGGGGACAGTATTAGTATTTTTGGAGGGAGGGGTTGAAGGGGTCATCAATGATTCATATTGAACATTTCATCTCAAAGGGAGGACCATTTAACATTCCCCTTGAGTGTGTGCCGGGCCCCGGAGGTGCCAGGTTGTGCCACATTCAAAGGGAACCAACAGTGGGGAGGGCCCTGAAGGTAACAGGCTGCTAATGTGAACCTCTGTGTTTAACATGCAGTCCTGGGTTTCTTCAACGCTGGAACTCTTTTGTCTGATTCTCAGACCTGTGCCTTGAAGCTGGCATGGAGAGATTGCCTTCTGCAAGTCCCGTGAGCCCAGCTATAGCACCACAATAATGTAGGTCATCAAGTCTAGCATTTTCCAGCCGGGTGCAGACGCTTTACTGTTTGCAGCCTCCATAGAGACACATTTAGTATGTATTTGAAGGGATTATTGGACAGATTATGCCACCAAATTTAGTTTTTCTTTAATGACCTGATTTTGGTTTGGTGTAATTTGGCTTTTACAAAATAGCGTTGTTGGCAAGAATATACAGGGCTGGAATAGACTCTTATGTTACTTAACCATATTTGAATGTCGGGAATTTCCTGAGTTGTGGGCTGCCGTTATTACCTGACATTTAATAACAGGCACTGCAGGCAATGGCTTTGTCTTGAGAGTGTTTGTGTAACCAAGGTTTCTCATTCTAAAAATGTATAGGGTTTTTCATTCATTATATTTGAAGCAACATATTAACATTTTATTTGCATAGAATGTGATCGAATTACAATATATAGGCAATGGAGTAATTTATGACTAAAACATTATCTTGGATCTGCCATATTAGGAGGAAGAAGTGTCGTTTTACTGCCCGAAACGGCAAAAAAAACTCCAGAAATATGGTGTCCTGAAATTGATTATAAACTTAAAGATGGAGAAGCCAAACACATTATTTTGTAGCATTTCCGTCACTGATCTACAAACTCTTGTCTTTCCATAGATTGAGGACCTGACCCTTGCTCCTTTACTGGTCCATCATGGCAGTCCTGTTTACAGACAATAGATTTTAGTGGAAGTGCATTGGTTGTATTGGTCTGAACTCTCCTTGTGCTAAATGTGTAATCTGATTTTGCTTTCAGGGAGGTTTTTAATCTGTTTAGATGGATTTATTGGGATACGCATGTTCAGGGATCATGGATTTTACCATATGTTTTTAGAATCGTATTGGTTTTGACTTCATTAGAAAAGAGGATGACACATGGGCGACTATGCACACTGGGGTCTTTAATATCATATTTTATAATTTGCCATCAATTACATGTTAAAATTTTCTGTCTTTCTAGATTTAGTTATATTTTTGAAGTAGAAACCATAGTTATCAAGCATCTGGCATCAAGACAGGGAACCACTTGCAGTGAATGTTGAGTCTAGCATCAGCCACAGTGTGTAATCTCTACCCTCATCTTCTAGCAAGAGCAAAGAAGTTTAGTGATTTGAGCTGCCTTCTGATTACGTCCCAGACACTCTCCTCTTATTGTCTGTCTCCACCTGTTTCTGAGCCATTGCGGTGGCCGAAATTGCTCTCATCAAGGAGACAATTGCACTTGGTACATCATTTTAGGCTAAACTTAATCCATCTTTGTTTATATACATTTGAGAATTGCATGCTTGACACTTGACTGGATCCATGTATAGCAGGCCACTTGCATCAAATATGTGATTATGCTCAATTTAGTTAAAAATGCAAACGCATAGGTAAGAGTGGCAAAAACCGATTGGAGCAGGAAGAAGCATAGTACTTCACATAAAAGAAAGAAAACCTTTTTAATGTATTGAAAATATGATCGGTATCTTGTGTTGTTAATTAAAATTTTACCAACAGATTTACAAATGCACAATGCTACGTTCGGGTTCAAATTTGATCATTTTCCAAACTTTTTTTTTTCAAGATATATCAAAGACGTGATGTCTAAATTTCATGTCAGACACCTTTAATTGAATTTGCCATTCCCCCGCTTCGACCTTGGGGAGTGGACTGACTTGATAGAGGTGCAGGGTTAATCCAGATGAAAAGTCTTTTTGAAGTTGTGCATAGTGGGATCAGGTTTTCTGAGGAATGCCATTAGCCAGGTGGTCCATTTCACTTGCACAGGTGTGTGTGTGTGTGTGTGTGTGCGTGTGTATGTGGTGGGAGACAATGTTCCAAAGCCAAGGCTGGGTTACTACGGGGGATTTCCTGAGCACAATCGAGCTTGGGACCTTCAAGATTGGGGTTTATGGACACCTCCCTAGTTATAGAACCTAGTTTTAAGCTAGCTATATGGATGTGGGAACGCAAGCAAGCCATTAATCTCAATATCGGTGACAAGTCGGCAGAGTGGTGTGGGGAAAAAGCCAGACAAAGTAACTCACAAAGAGAACGCACTGTGACGCACGAACATTTACTATAAAAATCCACTTACATCCAATTTGTGTTGTGTGGATACAAATGGGATTGTTTACATGGAACACAAACAGGCAGAGTTTCTGCAACCGTTGGAATGAATCTTTCAACATCTTTATGCACTTTCACTTAGTAAATTAGGAAGGTAAAAAGAATTATAGCCACAGGGGCATAGTGGTAGAGTGGTTGGCTTTGTAGTGGAGTCTGCACAGCTGTGTTACCAGGCTAGTTCCCAGTCTTCCAGTCAGACGGCAGGCATGTATAGTAGAGTTGAAGTCATTTCTAAATGATTGTATACAGTATTAGGGAGATGTAAATACTGATTAAGAGATCTGTTGTTTGTCCCACAGTGGGAAAATTAGTGTTGCATTACAGGTTACAGAATAGTGGAAATGAGGAGCATTCAAACACAAAGAAATGTGAATACTGAGTACAGCACAACTCTATACTTTAAAATTAAATAAAATATGTTCAGCTTCTTACTATATACTTATAAAATAAATATAATAAGTAAGATGACTCAAAATACAGATAATGAAAAATATTTAGCTTTATGAACTGAAATCAAGCTATAGATACATCTCTAATACTTTAGGAATAAGTTGGTTCTGTAGGTTCAAATATTTACAGTGATGATACTACTGTAAATTTGTGAAGCAAGAGGATATGGGCAGAAGTAAAAGACAGTGGGCACACGTGATACCTTATTACACATGCTGGCTGATTTGGCTGCATTCAGTAAAAATAAATTATTAAAATTCTGGTGGTTTCCATTTTAAACCAGTAATTAACTGGGCACTGGTTGTTAGGTAGCTTTTATACGTCATTCAATATTTTTCAATTCAACATTTTAACATGGCGCTTTTAAATCAAAGTATGGATGAATGCGACGAGACGGCCTATAGTGATTGATGTGTCTTCTACAAAGTCAATTAAAATAGTTCATTAGTGTTTAGAACCGCAGTTAATATATTAAGAGGTAAACACTGATTCAATACATCAATAGTGACGGGGCAGTAAATGTCTGGTCGTGCATGTAACTCGTACAAAGTAAGAAATCTCTTGTCCAAATGTGCCTGGTCTGAATGTGCTCTGCATGTAAACATACCATTTTTTTCCCCCCTTCTGCAATTGTTCATCTCACAAATTAGACCATGGCGTCAACTCTTCCCATATTTTCAGCAATCAGACAGACAAATTAAGAATTACTCATGCAAATAGCGTTCCGCCTATCACTGCAAATCACACACAATAATTGTATGGCTGGATTTTTATCACAGGGTTCAGTTCAGGGTATTTCCGTAGTTGTTTTGTGTCTGGATGTGCACTCTGTAATAAGTGTAAAAGCCACAATGGAGTCTTGTGTGAGCAGCCAAGTAACGTCCCCCCTGTACTGTACCCCTTTTTGTGCAGTGGTCTACCATCTGCCACCGCGACTTCATTCTACAAACATTTCCTATACGATCCTAGAAGCTGCCCTGAGATAGCATGGGACCTGGGTCTTATTTCACATACTTTATACTTTGGGGGTCCATAGAAAATTGTGTGTTTGCTATGATCATCATTTTCAGGAATGCAAAGTATAAAAAATGGAATGTGGGTGAAAGGTTCTTCAGCTGAAAAATCAAACGGTATGAAATATAGTGGTACATTCATGACTTTGAGTTAAAAGGCATGGAAAGGTATGCTTAAAGAAATACTCCTGGAAATGGGTTTTCTACATTTGGCTCATTTTTACTGGGGCAGCTTGAGAGACAATGGGTGAAAGGTTTTCTCCT